AGTGTTGTACAAGCTGATGGTATATCTATGATTGTGTGGGTGTTGGAGTTCGCAAGGATCACTTGTGAAACTCTAGTCTGTCTTGGCAAGTGTGGCATACACATATATTGTTACAAACCATCTGCATTACATTATATCCGGAATGTTTCATGCTGTCGACGATGTACATTAGTATTGTGAGACCGGAAACTACCTACACAATATACTCTTCCAGGCCTATATTAAGTAGGCGACATGGCACTCTAGAGAGTAACATACAGAGACATAGAGTGTGACAGTGAGAGTCTAGTACGACTACCAGTGTTGGACACTAACTTATAGTAAGCTCTGCTTACACTATCTCTTTAACCTGTTGTTAATATATCTTTCATACATCTAATCCGTGTTCCGTGTTTTACTTCTGTGGTCCCAACATTGGCCCCACATCAGTGGCGACGAGGATTCTAGAAACGCACTCACGGCGAAACCTAAATACCTTACCAATCCCACATCTGGGTCGACGAAGAATTCGAGAAACGCATTCACGTCGAAAACCGCAATACCTTGCCAGTCCCACAACAGTGGCGACAGAAAAGATATCGAGAATTTCGTTCTCACCATATCAATAGCGACAGTACTCGAAAAATACACAAACCCCACGCGTTCCCACAGCAGTGTTGAACGTGGAATTAAGCTGGTATTAATACATTAGCGATTTAAAAGCTAAACACCCAGCGTCTACATATATTCCAATACCAAACAGCAGTGACGAGCAGTGATTCGACATCTACGGAATATTAAAGTCTGTCCAATACGAGAACGATTTCTACACACCCCCACACACAGAAAAAAAACAGTTGTTCGTAAAACAAACTGACAATACAAGAGCAAGTACTACCATTGTACTCAAGTTTTCGGAAAAAAACTATCGAAAAAATTTTTATGTAACTGAGTTAAACTCGGACATAAAATTATTCTCCCCTCAAATTTTCTCTTTTTTTTTTTTTTGTACCTTTCTAAAAAAAAAATACATAAGTGTGGTGAAAAATTATTCAATTCCGTTAAAATTAACGGAACCACGTAAAAAATCTAAACACACATAATTAGTTTAGTTTAATCCATTAGTTTAGTCTGTCCATTTTTTTTCTGTAAAATAAAAAAAAGGAACAAAAATCTATCAAGATTTTTTTTGTGTACTTCCTCTTAGTACACGTGTTTCAAAGCAACAAAAAAAGCGTTGTCATTTTTAAATATGGAAGATTTGCAAAAAGTAGTTGCCCAAATGTTAAAACTAAATTTGGATCAGCAACAAAAATCAGAAGAAAGACAACAACTATTTTTGGAATTACATAAACAACAAAGGGAATTCCAAAAAATTACGCTTCAGAATGCTGAACTACAACAGAAACAACTTAAAGAATTACTCGTAAATGCATTAAAAGGCTCAAACTCTGAAAAAGATACAATATTCTCCCAGAGTATAATCTACAATTCAATGGAAACCTTTGAATACGTACCAGAGGAAGACAAAACGTTCCAGGCTTTTTACAGGCGCTACGAAGATATTTTCAACGTAGACTGTGAACAATGGCCCAGTAAAAAAAAAGGTACGTCTTCTATTGATAAAACTGGGAACTACAGAACATAGTAGGTTCGTAGACTTCATACTACCCAAGAAAACGACTGACTTGGATTTTTCAGAGACTATTAAGCTCCTATCAGAACTATTCGGGCCTAACACAACCTTGTTCCACAAACGTTGGAAATGCCTGAACACAGTCAAAGACAACCAGCAAGATTTTCTAACGTTTGCAGCATCGGTAAACTAACTATGTAATGAGTTTAAACTAGCCGAACTGACTGCCGATGATTTCAAGTGCTTGATTTTCGCACAAGGCTTAGTATCAGCAGAAGACGCCGAAGTCAGACGACGGGTACTGACCAAGCTTGAGAACGAACAAGGATTGACTCTCCAAAAACTGGCAGAGGACTGTCAAAGAGTAATATCTGTAAAGTGTGACTCAAACACTATCGAGGAATCAGGTGTGACTCAGATTAATAAAATCAGAAGCAAGTCTACCTCCTATTCCCCTCAAAAAGACAAAAGGCAAATCTCATGTCCTAAATTACGCAGTAACAAAATCCCAAATAAGTTAAAGAAACCGCCCGGACCATGTTACCATTGTGGTAAATGGCATTGGATGAAATTCTGTCCAGTTAAGAACAAAAAATATTGCAAAAATTGCAATAAAAGTGGTCATACTTTAACTTCGTGCTGGTACGCCAACAGAACGAGAAAACCCAAAAATAAAATTAGGCAAGCTCAATCTGACAATATTGTCGATAGGAATTTAAGAAAATATGTAACTGTGGATATTTTCAATAATTCCATTAAATTCCAGCTTGACTCGGGTTCCGATCCTTCAACCATTAACTGGCGTACTTGACGAAAATTAAACAAGCCGACCTTATTAAAAACGGATAAAACAGCAAAATCCGTAACTGGCGAAAAAATTGACTTTTTAGGCGAGGTAATACAGTAACACTAAATGGAGTTACCAAAAAGCTCAAAGCCTACGTATTGAAAACTTCAGTTAACTTATTTGGAACTGATTGGATAGAAAAATTCAATCTTTGGGGTTGCCCAATGAGTACATTTTGTCACAAGATACAATGTACAACGTCCAATTTGGTAAATCTAAAAAAGGAACTCAAACAACAATTTCCCCAGGTTTTTTCTGGCGGTCTTGGGAAATGTACTAAAATGAAAGCTAAGTTCAAGGTGAAGGACGGTGCACAACCGGTATTCAAAAAGAAAAGGAATGTCCCTTTCGCTGCTCTAGAGCAAATCAACAAAGAATTAGATAGACTCGAACAAGCAGGTATTCAGTCAAAAACAGATTTCAGCGAGTGGGCAGCACCTATGGTCTACGTAAAAAAGAAGTCCAATCAAATACGAGCCAACGCGATCAGAAACATGCCGGCCCCAGATAACGTTCAAGCGTTACAAAGCTTCCTCGGACTAGCTAATTTTTACCAAGGGTTCATTAAGAACAAGCAAAATTTGAGAGGGCCTCTCAACCAACTTTTAAAAAAGGACAAACCATGGTCATGGACCCTGGAATGCCAAGAAGCATTCGAGAAGATCAAGAAAACTCTTACTTCAGACCTCCCCCTCACCCATTACGACCCTAATCTCGACATTATAGTCGCAAGTGATGCAAGCTCGTACGGCATAGGCGCTTGCATATTACATAAACTGCCAGATGGTTCGCGAAAAGCTGTGGCTCACGCATCAAGATCTCTACTTCGATCTCGACATGCCCCAAGTCTCTCCTGAAGTGCGACGCTCAGGAAGGAAAAGGAAATTTACTTAACAGCTCGAGGTAAATCCCAAGAGGAAAAAGTATTAACAGTTATTTTTTTCTCTCCTTTTCAAAAAGAAAACTCTTTGGAAGGGGGGTATTGTGAGACCGGAAACTACCTACACAATAGACTCTTCCAGGCCTATATTAAGTAGGCGACATGGCACTCTAGAGAGTGACATACAGAGACATAGAGAGTGACAGTGAGAGTCTACGACTACCAGTGTTGGACACTAACTTATAGTAAGCTCTGCTTACACTATCTCTTTAACCTGTTGTTAATATATCTTTCTTACATCTAATCCGTGTTCCGTGTTTTACTTCTGTGGTCCCAACTTTGGCCCCACATCAATTAGAAAGATAACGCAACCCCCATCGTGCATGGGTGGCATGAGACTGGTGTAGGAGTTACCTCCTCCTTAGTTCCCTAATTCTTCACCAGGGGTCTCATGCTATAAACACCGGGTGACCTCTTGACTCGATCTCTTCTTTCCTTCAGGCCACGTGTCGAATTCCACCTCGCGTGGAGGTGAGGTAAATCTCTCTTCCTTCTTCATTTCAGCGACAAGATGTAAGCTCTTAGAAGATCAGCGTTTCCCAATTCTGGGAAAACGCTATGAACATTACAAACATTCACCACAATACGAACACTTACGAACTTCTCCAAAATAACATTCACCAAAGAACACACACAATTTTGCTATGTCTATGTGTCTTGTAATGTGTTTAATATATATTTGTTGATATATATATGTCTTGTTTGTCTTCTTCGGTTAGACAAATTAAGTCCGCCAATTTTCACGTAGTTGGATCTTTTAATGTTCTACCAGGAGTTACACAAGTGTTTCTAATACAACAACACGTAAATACACACACGGTCCTCTACACTGGTTCCGAGAACATTCGGCTGATTCCCAGGTACTCCACTGGACCCGCGCACACCAGAGTTAAACCCCATTTAGCATGTATACGACATATTACTGACCTCACTAAATTTCCTGTAGTCCTACCCAACAAACACAATTCAGTTGACAGACAAGAAACCTGCCCATATAGATAAACCCACACAACGATTTCAATATCTCCGTGTCACATCACTTGGTCGCTGTATTAAGGCGAACAGGAAAGCTGCACATTTACGTTGGTGTTTCTAATTTTTAGGAACTTTATTCCATAGTTTACTTTTTTCTTTTGTTTGATAATAAAGCACATCTCTTTTTCTTTTCTTCTTTCGTAGGTGCCAACCTTTTGTCATTAACTACACAATAATTAGTGAAATAAAATTTCAGTGGGACTATTTAAATACTTTTCAAGAAAAAAATGAATTCATAAATGAACCGTAATATTTTTGTTTTCGTTTTTCTTTTTACATTTTGCAACTATTTGGGTCGGTTACCATATGATGTGATGGGGTAAGTAAGAAGAGGCCAGCTCGTCTCGCAGACAAATTATTATTAGTCATTTTTGTTTCTTGAGTTCTTCCATCTTCATGGTTGCTCTAACTATCGTGGGGTTGACAGACTAAAGTTTAGTCACTAAACTCTTTTGACTGCCATTGTTTCGTGAACATATGAAAATTAAAGAAGATTGGAAAAGAATAATGTTTTAGTGCAAAACAGACCCTCCAAAAAGTAAACCTCCAACGCAGATATTGTCATGTCTGCGTTTATTTGCTCTTTCTCTCTCACATGTTTTCATTTGCTTTTTATTCTGCTTCTGTTGCAATATAACGCCTACTCACTGAACACTGGAGTAAAGTATTGATCCTTTTTATTGCAGTAGCAGTAGTGGTTCAGTTGCTTTGGTAACGAATCTCTCGGAAAATCGATAAAAACGAAGAACTCTAAAACGTTCACAACTGCGTATTTATGAGCTGAAACTTAACCATAAAACACTTTCTTGAAAATTAATTTAACATGAAGGCACAATAATTTAAATTTTAAAATTGCTGACTAAAAAGTCTTTGGTTTGAAAGCGTAAGACATTTCATTTTATCGCTTCATTTACAAGGTGAGTTTATTTCTTCTACTTTCATTATGTCTTCGAGGGTCAGTGTGTGGATAATGTCAGTTGTAATCATTCTAAAAATTCCATATGGAACTAGTAGCGTATTTGTTTCTTAAAAGAATTGTTCATTTTTTTGTTTATTTTTTAATCAGAAAAACAGATTTGAAGTGATTATTACTATTTTATGATTTACTTTCGTCTGTTTTCATTTTTTACAGATTGTCATTTGTGAAAAAACAAACAAACAAATGATGATGCCATTTCAAACTCTACTTGTAGAATGGTTTTCTGATAAATTTTAAATAACTCGTTAAATTCATTTTTAAAGAATTTTTGTTGTGTAAGTTATTTACAAAAAGAAAGATGAAGAGAGAGATTTTTGGTGGTGTATGTAAAAGAAAAAAGAAAAAAGAGGACTTGTTTATAAAAACAAACTATGAATGAAAACTCGTGGCTTTCATTTTGCAGTGAATTATGTAAAAACAAAAAAAAAATAAAGAAAGAAAAAAATTAAGCAGCGTAAGAATTTTTTCGAACAAAATTTCCTTAAATGGAAACACCAATAGATTTTTATGTACTTGAACTTTTAGATGAAGACTAAGATTTATTTTTAAATAATGGTGAAGAAATCTCTCTCGTTGTAGTAAGTACGGTATAATCTTCTGATCTCTTTTTAATGGTTTTTAGAGACTTATGATTGTTAAACATTTGGAATAAAGAAATTGAATAAAATGTAAAATTTAAACTTTATTTAAATTTTCAAATATAAAAACTACAATAAGAATGATTTTTTTAATATTTTTCTTTTAAACATTCATTAATTCTTAACTTTAAACTTCCTTTTCATAAGAAATCTCCTTTGATGTGATTGTGATTTTATCATTTTTCCTGAATTCACATATGGAAAAGTTTTTATGAATAATTTATACAAATGCTCATTCACAAAAATCATATAATTAGACAGATTTCATATTTCACACGAAAAATTAAACCAAATGATCATTCTTTATTTTTGTTTTTAAAAAGTGGTTAATAATGAATGTCAATGTTCATCTTGATATCAACCTGCCAACTCAAGTACAGATTTTATAAGCATTTTTGTTTACACAAAAGTTAGCATATTGGTTAAGCCTGTCTGTCTTCTGATTTGAAAAAGATTATTTTTCATTTTTAATATTAACATATTTCACTGTTAATGAAAGTAAAAGGTGCTAACTATTCTAATAAAACAAATTTTGATTTTACAAACAAAGAATGGCTTCCCAATCTTTGTTTCTTGTTAGTTTAGGCTGAATTTGTAATCTTTTTTATACTTTAATTTGTCTTCATGTGAAATTATTTAAATATTTCTCATTTTAATTTCCCCAATATTTTATACTTTATTTTTAGTGTTGTTTATAAAAAACATGGAAATGAATTTTATATTTTTCAACCTTTTAATTTAATGTAGCCATCTTATTTAGTTTTATTGTTTTCTTTTGAATATTATCATAAATTTTATTTTTCATATGCATTGAATTTGAAATTAAAAAAATGTGCAATTTTTAATAGAAGAATGTCAGTCATGTCACTCTTGACTGATAGGAATGCACTTTCACAAATTGAGGGATATTTCTTAAAACTGTTAACTTTTAAGTTAAAAAAGAGCTTATTTAGTTTTGTACTAAAGAAAGAAAAAGTATGTTCTTCAACAAATAGCTTAAACATCTATGATGTGTGCATTTTCAATATCTTCTGTTATTTTCAAGATCTTCTGGACAAAGCATATGTTTGTGATATGCAGTTATGAGAAATGAGATTTTTGTTTATTTATTTAAAAATTCAGATAAGGTTAGAACAATGAAATGTTTTAGATGTATATGACTTTGTTAAATCTAGTGTTAAATATTAAAAGTAGAATTGGCAAATATTACAGGTCTCTTTTTAATGTTCAAGTGTAGACACAGTATCACAAAATAAAGTTGATGTGGGCTAAAATTTTAAATATTCTTGATTTTATAATTTTTACCTGGGGATGAATATTGTTTAATACAATTTTCCTAATATAAATATTCTTTTTATTTTAAATATACATTTTTTTTGCTTTTCATTTATATTTATTTTCTGGAATGACACCTGTAGATGTTTTCTATAAATAAAACTTATATAAAATTTTGCAAAGCTAATATATCAAAGAAAAAGTGGAAAATAAAGTTTTTATGATTTATTTTGAAAATTAATGGCATTAATAATTTTAGACAAATGATACAGGTTATCTCAATAGCATTGTCATTTAGTTTTCTGTTTAGTTCTCAGTTCCAGCAAAATGTGAGGGGCCTGATAACCACATACCCTACTATAGCGTCATGGATGTAGTGTGCACATATTACAAAAAATAAATGAATTTTTGTAATGTTCCAAATACTAGTTACTTCATGCAATTGTTAAAATGTATATGAAATATCAAGTCACAGAAATTGAATATCAAATTAACAGCTAACTAGTTGTAAAGAATATGCAATATATATGATTGCTGTTATGAACATATTCTATTATGAGTTAAGAGACAGATCTGATTACATATGGTATTATTGTCTTTTGGTTCTATTCATGTGTTTGCCTTTTTGTAACCAAAGAAATATCTTTTTTTCCTCTCATAATTTAGACCTTATTTATCAATTTTGTTTTCTATGACATCAAAAGTTCTAGAATCAAATATTAGGAAATGTGTTTTTCTCACTCTTGTGACACTTGTGTGAAGTATGATCCACTCCATTGCTACTTACCTAATCTATTATAATTAACCTTGGGAAGCCATCTTGCCAAGTTACATTTTGTTTTAGATTAACACAACAGGTTTAATTTTTTTCTTAATTCTTGTTATTGCCAACTTGCCAAATCCTATTAACAAGGATGATTTTGTTACTTTCTTTTTTTTTTAATATTTGCCCATAGATGTAATCAAAATAACAATTTGTTAATTCATCAATATTTTTGTATCCTTACTACTTCTTATCACAATAAAATTGTAGTAATACTTCTTTAAAGGAAAGCATAAAAATTTGGTCAGTAAGGGAAAAAAGTAGTTCTTTTTAAAATCTTTAATATCAATAGAAAATTTAAGAAAAATTTTTTTTACACATTTAATTTTCATAAACCAAAATGAAAACCACAAGCAATGATACACGTTAGCTCAATAGCATTGTCATTTAGTTTCTTGTTTAGTTCTCAGTTCCAACAAAATGTGAGGGGCCTGATACCCCCATACCCTACTATAGCGTCATGGATGTAGTGTGCAAGGGACAAAATTTAAAAAGAAATATATCCCTAATTTTTTATTAATAGTTTCTAATTATCGTTATCATTATTATTATTCATTTTGAGTGAACTCAAACACCATTAACCATTTTATTATTCATTTTGAGTGAACTCAAACACCATTAACCATTTTATTATTCATTTTGAGTGAACTCAAACACCATTAACCATTTTATTATTCATTTTGAGTGAACTCAAACACCATTAACCATTTTTTCCATTCTTCTGTATCTCAAAGATTTACTAATCCTGCTGTTTATCAATTACTTTCAAACTTACATTGAAAGTACAATTCAGTGCTAGTGGTTATGACTCCTATTGACAACAACTGTATTCAGCTAACTAGAATTAATCGATCCAATTTAACTAAGATTGTTTTTATTGAGTTTTTTATCTGATTTGAAATGATCAAAGCTTTATTCATATTTATTTCATTGTAAGTACAATTCACTACTTGTGGTTACAAGTATTTGTGATGGCTGTATTCAGCAAACTAGAATTGGTTGATATGTGCTGTTGTAATTAAGAGGATCAGATCATCTAATTAATTGATTACAGATAAAATAAATAACATTATTTTACAATTTGTACTTGCTTTTAGCCAAGATTGTTTTTACTGAGTTTTTATCGAATTTGAGATCAAAGCTTTATTCATATTCAAGGACCGTTCATAGAATTATATTATTGATCATAATTACAGATTCCAAGTAAGTTATGATTTTTAAACATCTTATCTTAGTGACACAAGTGAACTTAAAATTAGATTATTTTTCACTTATATAATTCTATAATATCTCATTAATACAAACTGCACAAAAGAATGTAGTAAAACTAAACTTTTCTGGTGTTTGACAGAAAAACTTAGACTTAGTTATGGAGTCTTATCTCTTTACTTCTTTCTTTTGTTGTAGACAGGCTGCCAGAGGTGAGTGGGGGTAGCTATCCTTAATTATTTAACCTCCAAACCCTTTAAAAATGTTACAAACTAATTTTAACATGTAAATTTTTAATTGCTCTGCCCCTGACTGAAATACCTCTCCCCACTTATTCAAAACTCTAGTGACGGGCTAGCCATATTGTCTTGCATATATGAATGTACATATTTTGCCAATGACAGCAAAATTATTATTCTTTTCCTGTTTTTTATTTGGAGAATAAAGACAACTGATTCCAATTATGTTTTTAAATTTGACCCAGTACTACTTCTATTTTTTAAAAAGGTTTAGCTTACAGTGTGTCCAAGAAAAATGCCACAAGAGAGTGTTTAGATTCAAAGCTATCAAATCCTGTCTATTTGACAATGTACACAATGCAATTAGATAATACACTTGCCTGAGAATGTTTCACAGTGACAAATAACATCTTTGGAACCATTCACTACTGACTTAAACAACAATAACATTAGGCTTGTAAATCTTATATAAGATCTTATTTTATTCAATCTCAAAGATGACATCATTTTACCTGAGATGATATTAAAATGGTTTCATCTGTTCTGGTCAAATTAAAATCATAAAATTTAGATTTTTATTAAATAAACATTATATTTTTCAAAATGAGAAAAGTCATCTAATAAATATAAAGACAAAATATGAATAAAAAATAAAAGCAATATAACAACTTTTTCATAAAGACTTTTTTGGGCATTCATTTCCAAATCACATGGATTTTTTTTAATACCTTAAATTAACATAAAGTACATTAATTCAAATTCTTGAGAAATCTTTCTGTTAATTCGGCAATTCTGCAAGAAGATTGAGAAAGAAAACAGGTGGCATTACCAGCAATGATGATTAGACCACTCACACAAGCATATGTAATGATATTCAAAATTTAATAATTAAAATAAGTAGGGCATAAAGATTTCAGTGGAATGTCAAAACACCAAATAAAATACAAATCAACATAAATGACAGACTCAAAAGAAAAGCTGTTAAAATAAAATCTGAAATAAGATTTAAAATTTTCAGATATAAAAAACAGATTGATATCTTCCTCAGGCCCAATGCCCGTTGGTGTCAGCAGCATTCTGGATAATTGCTTTCTAGTAGGATTATCCATAACTGTTAAAATCTATTGTGTTTTTTGTTTCACAGATGAGCTATATACACTCCATGTCTAACTATCTTTGTACAGCTTCAGGTGGCTAAATTTTGAATTCAGAGTTGTTTATCTGTTAGACTGGTTGACAACCATGACTAGAGTGCCCAATCTGCCTTTCTATTTAACCTACAGCTGAAGGAAAAAGAGAAGGGCATTTGCACAAAAAGTCAAGGAAACAAACTGCACTGCAATTGAAACTCAGCTTACTGATTTCTTTTTCCAAGTCATTAACTATTATACTACTGGCACATCCTCCAATGTCCTGGGTATGACAATAAACTAGATTCAGCAGTAAGGCCTATGACTGGAAGGTTTTAAGGAGTGTGTAACCAACTCTTAATTGCTGTTGTTCCCAGATCTACCCTGACTTGGGGTGGTAACACCTGTTAGGAACTCAGCTATAGGCAAATAGTTAACTGTCAAACTGTGATCAAAACACTATGAAAGTATAAAAAATTTTATAGTAAAATTGCCAGCAATACATTTTTGTTAAAAAGAAATTAGCAGCAATACATAATAATACATTAATAACACTCACAAGGAAATTTTGGCATTAAATGACCCATAAAGAGTTGATATGCCACTAAACAAACAAAAAAACATGCACATCCTCCAAAAACAGATCATGAAGTATAACCAATTTTCAACCAATTGATGCTGGATTAAGTAAATTCATAAAACCTTTGAATTTGTATCCTCTGAAAACAGATATATAATGAGACTTTGCAATAGGTCATTGTGAGTCAACTCAAAAATGCTAGCTCATCTACACAAATTTACATCAAGTACCGCCTTTCCCCTAATAGATAAGCAAGGATAGAAATAAAGAAACTCTTCAGCTGCTAAAACTACTTGCCAACTCTTTTAAGTCAATATACTTGTTTATATTTGCTCTCCACCACCACCCCCATCCCCACCCAGAGTAAACTATAAAGACATTTACTAAAATATACGAACTTCCTCTATGTTGGATACTTGTCCATTTTTATGAACATTTCAAATGATAAATTCATTTCCTATAGAATGATACATATGCAAAAGTTTCTGAGAGAGTGTGCACAATCTGGCATGATCAGAAGTTGAACAACACTCAAACCCTCAGTCACAATGATTTGTGATTTTGTGTTAGCACACTCATCAATGGCTTCCAAACAGTTTCATTTCCACAATTTCATTCACAAGACTTCATTCAACCTGTCTTAAGGTTTTTCAGGTACTTCCCAACAGTTGCTATGTACTGGGATCATTTTCCATTATATTATCAAGAAGTTACCTCCCTGACACATTGACTGGGCCTTATACTTAGAATGCTAATGTTCTAACCATTCAGCCATACACACACACACACACACACACACTTACACACTTATCTACGTAGACTGTCATAATATTCATTGGTTGTAAGTACATATTACTTGAAAGTATTACTAAATGATTCTGGGATAACTTCAATATAATATGTGTTATAAAATAAAATAAGACATATCTCGGCTGATTTACAGGCAAATAAACTAACGTAGTCAAGAGCGAGAGCCGGATGTGAATGGGACAATCACAAAATGACCATTATCTTTGTTTATACATGTTCCCGATGCACGAGTTCCAGTCGAAAAATAAAATATTTTAAAGTGTTTCTATTTTTCGACCAATAAAAATGCTTCCCTCCTAATTATACTTGCATGGTTTTTCGAGCCTGTTAAGCCATAAAAAAACGCCATAAAAGGGGTCACACGGAAGAGACCTGTCACGGTCAGGTTGAGTGGTCAGCAGCAGCCAGCAGCAGTAGCGCCATGTCAACCAGTGAGAACTACTATGAGAGATCAACCCAGATCTTCAGCTGGCCTATGAACTATACCACAAGGTAGCTGTCCCAAAACCACACGTTCCTATTGAAATAAATCACGTAAATCTATTTCTGCTGTTGCCATATTTCCTTCTTGCAACCATACGCTTGTCTATAACATATGTATTACTTTTTATTTTAAAAAGGAAATTTTTATTTTATATTTTGTGCATTTTTGGATCTTGTTAGCTAATTGTAGAATTATTTTTAGCATTGTACTGTTTTCTAAGCTTTGTGGAATAAATATCAACTTAAAATATCCCCTCCTCAACATGCATGTTTTTTCTCCATTTCTGCTAATCTATTTCTCTGTATTTTTTTATCATCCAGAATGTTATTTACTTTTTATCTCTAGGTTGTGATATAAATAAGCTAATCTTTTTCTAAAGAAAAATACTTTTTTTTTAAGCCAGTCATAGTCAGACAATCTATTCAAGTCTTACACAAAAGATTTAATCAATCTTTTTCAGAAGTTTTGAATTTCTTTTCATTTCAGATCCCAAATGATGGCTACACATCCATCTTTTATTTTTATCCTGTCTTTGATATGTTCTACTGTTGTGACACAGAGTGCAAGCAAAATGGAAGAATTTCATTTTCTCATGCCTCAAGTGAGACCAACTAAGGTGTGTTCTTATATCATACATTTTTACTTCTTTTTCTTCTTCTTGAGCTTCTTCATCATTCATTCATTTATATCTTCCATCTCCAGAAAAAAGTAAATTCCAGAATATGTTATAGAATATCAAGTTTTTTATGTGTTAATAGTTTTATCATTTATTCAAACATGGTGTCTGTGAAAAAATGGTCTTCTTTAAATTTAAGTTATTACTTATTTATTTATTCAAAAATATCAGTTGCAGTCATAAAATTCATTTATGAATAAATAAATTTATTAAAAATATATTTAACAATGTTTTACTCAGTCTATACTCAATACAGAACAATCAATATATATTTTATCATTTAATTTATATAATACTTTAGAAAGAAATCATTTAAAACAAATGCTACTTTCTTTTGTTAAATATATTATTTTGTATTTTGATGTGATGGGGCTGTTACTTGAATATTTCCATGTGATAAGCAATTGTTTTTTTTTTATTCTTACACAAAATAAATTTAATGCTTGAGTAAACTTTTATATTGATTCCAAGTACAAGTGTCAAGTTGAAGTACAGATACTGGATTTGTAATTTGTAATATCAAGTAAAATAGTTGTATATGCAAGGTTGGTTTTAATCATCCTTAGCCATGAAACTTCTGGATGACTCCTTTTCTTACTGCATGGTCTGAAGCATTATTCTAAGGCTTTTCTCACTTGTGTTTCTTTAGGAAATCTCATTATATATCTTAAGATATCTTCTTTTGATGGTCTTGCTTCAAGGTTCACATTTTGTCTTATTTTATCACTTTAAATGTTATTTTTAGTAAATATTCATATTTCATAAGATGCTATGTTTATTTAATAAGCAGTGTACTTATTTATTTTCATTTACTGACTTGAATATTTGAAAAATATTATTAAAGAAAAATATGTGTTCAATATATTAAAGATAAACTTAAAAAATATTAAAAAAATATTAAAGTAAATCTTATTAAAGAAAATATTTTTCTTTAATAAAATTTCTTCAATATTCAGGCTAGTAAATGAAAATAAATAAACATAGTGTTTAATGAGTAAATGGAGCATCTACTCAAATATGAGTATCCACTAAAAATAACGTTTAAAGAGATAAAATCTGTTGAATTAATAAATAAAAATCCATTACTTTAAAAAATTATTTTATCATATATTTTCATTCAAGATCTTGTAAGGCCAGTGGATATTAAGGCTACTTCTTAGGAATTTTCTCTGGAAAGCATCAATATTTTTTCATCTGTACTCGTAATACCCCAAAGTTCTGAATTGTATAGAAACACATTTAAGATGTAAACTGAAAATGAAGTACTACTGCCATATATGGGCTGTAGCTGCCTGGTCCTCACTTTCTAGTCTCAATAAAGTCCAAATGAAATTACATGGCTCTGTTGGTGATGAATTGTTTTCCACCCTAGACCCCTTTTCTTGGAAACAAAATGTCATAATCATCCCCTTGTTATACTATCAATATTTTCAAGGTAAATATTCTGATGAGCTACATTCCTTACAGTTAAAACCTGCCATACCATGTACACTGGAACAAACCATCCCCAAACCCTTTGTATTCCATTAGTAAGAAGAAAGTTAAACTTGGACAGTATATTCCCAAGAACTATTACTTTGTAAAACAGACTTTCAAGAGAATGCTTTCTAGATCACTACAGTCTTCAAGTCTAGAGTCAACTGTTATATCCCACATATCCTCATAAACTTTTACCTCCTCCTCTTACCACTCATACAACAATCTTTTCCAGTAACCCTCTATCTTGAGTGGCTCCTGGGCCTTGTATTGGGTGAAAAATAGTAAAAAAAAAAGAATATTTTGATTTTCAGTTAATGACTGACAATGTTGATTTGAAAATGTTTTTGTATGACTGAATAGTTAGAAGTGCAAGTTTCTTCTGATTTTCAATGTCTCTTATTGGTGTTGAGGTAGTTGCCAAGTAATTTGCAGTTTTCCCAATTAGGTTCACAAACCAATCAAGTGCAGATAATAGTAATTTGTTATTCTTATGTTGGATGAGTTTTTCCATTGTTGGTTCTGATGGAGATGGCTTTGGTATAGTGTAAATCTTTGTTTGATGATGCATGTATTGTCATCAGTATATTTTGGTTTGATCACAAGAGCATTGTGTTGAGATGACTTCATTCTTCAGTACCCGTGTTAGATAGAGAGTCTCTTTGCATAATATCCAGCAATGTGTGTCATTAACATTTACTCTTATATTTGGTGTGTTCAGACAAACAATATGGCTTTCATTTCTCTAGGTCAACTACTGATATATTATTACAAAAAGTGGTGTGGTTGTTACTTTGAATGTCTCAAAAGCATTCAACAGGGTTTGGCATAGCAGTCTTTACAAGTTGAAAAGTTATGCTGTTTCTGGATGAATTCTGTAACTGATTCAGTCTTTCTTATCAAATCATGAAATGAAAATTATCCTAAATGACCATTCTTTTAGATCCTTTTGAACCAATGCAAGTCTCCTCTGGGTTCTATCCTTAGTCCTACTTTGTTCTTAATTTTCATTAATGACCTTCCTGATGGCATTAGCTCTCAACTTGGTATCTATGCTGATGACACAACCATTTACTCCTGTCTTGATCAGTAAGTCTGATCAGTTCAATAGGGTCAAATTGGTGGATGATCTGAAAAATTACCTACAGTCTGTTGTTAACTGGGGCAAAGCATGAATTGTTAATTTTAACACCTCCAAAACAAAACTGCTCTCTATTAATCATCTGAGAGACCCCTTTCTGCCTTCTATCAGCATGGCTGATGCTAACCTCCAGGAGAGCGGCTGATTGCACCTTCTCAGGCTAACATTCTCAGTTGACATGAAGTGGAAAGACTATTGTATCCATTGCTAGGTCTGCTGCCAAGAAAGTTGGTTCACTGTGTCATGGTAGACAATTTTTCTCTCCAGAATCTATCTTACATATCTATAAGTCTACCATTCATCCATTCTTTGAATATTGTTGCCACAGATGGTCAAGTGATCCTATTATATACTTAGAGATTCTTGATAAAATCTAAAGAATCAGCAATATTATGGTCCCAAGTTGGCATCTCAGCTTCAGTCACTTTCCCACCACTGTAAAGTTGCTTCCCTATGCCTTTTCTATAAATATTTTCATGGTAATTGTTCAGATGAGCTTTTTGCTATGGTACCTAGACTTTATGAATAGTAGTACTAGATTGGCATCAAGGTTTCAATAGTTTACAGTTGAACTGGCTAGATTTAATCATGTTTTATGCTAACAGTTTTTTTCTCACACTTCTCACTTGTGGAACACTCTTCTGGCTCCATGCTTTTCCATGATCTATAAAAATTTAAATGCAATGTCAATCACTATCTACTGTCTTCCTTATTACTTTTCTATTGTTCTCTTTCCTTATAAATATTTCTGTTTACTAATTTTTTCACATCCAGCAACCCCCTGTGTCTTAATGGCTTTACTATCTTGCTTGGGGTGAAATCAACTAAAAAAGATAAAATACTTAGCAGGTAAAGCTCATCTTTCTTCTAAATAATGGAATAGTTATTTCTGTTGACAGTATGAAAGGCTCTTTTGACATGTCAAACATGACCAAGAATACTTTATAGTTGCTGAAGCCACTAGCTTTTTCTGCTAGAATTTTAATTGCTAGAATTTGTTCACTCATTAAAAGCCCAGGTTGATATATTGCTTGGTAGAGTGGCATGATTCTTTCCAGTCTGTCCTAAATTCTATTCAATAGAAAAATGTTTTGTGTCATGAACAAGATGGAAAGAAGCATTATTGGTTGAAGGTTGTTATATTGGTTCATTTTCCTAGATTTTTGATTTGGGTAGCAGTTTAACAGATTTTTTATTCTGATTTCTTTATCTTATGGTTATAATATGGTTGACACCTGAATGAAAAATTCAACATGCAATATATTTATTCTTACCATATATACTCACGTATCATGCAACCTTTGAAGACCTAATTTTGAAGCTAATTTGACAACAGTAAATGGGTATATAATTTGGTCAATGGTGTGGCCAGGGCCAGCAGTACATATGTTAATTTTATTTCTCATCTATAGTGTTAGCCCCTTAAAATTAACTTCAAAATTAGGTCTTCAAAAGTCACATGATACACAAGTCTATATGGTAATTCAGATATAGGAATTACTGTCTTCATTAGTGAAATCTTATATGTTTCTGAAATATATTAAATGCTAACTGCACAAATATGCTTATTCTTCTTTTGCTAGCTTTGGATTTTACAATGCTTATGTGTTAAAATTGATAGTTTTAAGATTTTTCAATTTTTTATGAAAAACACAAGATTTACTAAACTTTCTTCCATTTTACATGAAAGTTATTTTCTATGTGTTAAGAAAATTTTTTTTTGACTACAATCTGAAATATATTTCATATTTTTCATTAAAATACTGAAATTTATTTGATTAATTCATTTTTTAAAAGAAAAAAATTTCTTTAATATAACTTTTGCTGCATTTGTCATTTAAGTCATTTGGTTATTTGTATTTAATTTTAATTTTAAAAATTTGTCAGAAGTACCAACTTTATTAAACTAATCATAATTTTTTTCTGTAATAATAAATGAAAAACATTTATGATATTCCTCAAAAAACAATGCTCAAAATTTTTAATTCTTTGTTTAAGCATTTTTATAAATGTCATTGTTTTATGATCTTTTCAAATAGAAAACAATAATTGAGTTTTTAATATCATTGTTCATGTTTCAGCCTGATACTTACCTTTGTCATACATTGAAAATGAATCCCACAGCTGATTATATTGGTAAGTCATTTGAAAATTCTTGCAATTTATTTAAAGGGAAAACATTGGAATTCAGATTTTTAAGTCAAATTCAAATTATTAGTTGAAGCAAATATTTTTGGTAAACCGTTTGTAAATTTAGATATTATCATACTTTACAATGGATGCTGTATTTTCATTGAATGGGTTTTTCTAGGAATTTTATTAATTTTCAATGATAATATCTTAGATTGGACTAATTTTTCTATTTTGCAGAGACAATACAGTAGGACCTCACAGTATGAGTTTAATCAGTTCCTAGACTGAGCTCGTATTGCAAATTGCACACATTATAAAGCATTTTTCCCACTAAAATTAATGGAAGATTAATTAAACCATTTCAGTTCCACCAAAGAAATACCTATTTTAAAATTTAAAAAATAGAAAATGGACAGTAAGAAATTAAATCACAAAAAGTACATGTAATAAGAACATGATAAGAGAGATTGAAAGAAATTGATAGCTACAAACCTTTCATAAGAAAGTTTCTGCCATTTTCACTCAAAACTTTTGTGGTATTTGATTTGCTTTCAGCACTTGCAAGTCATTTCTTTAGAAATTTATCAATAGAAATGTGTTTCATTCTTGATTTCAAAATTAACACCTCTTGGAAAGAAACAAGAGAAATGAATCTGAAAATGGACAACTTTCCTTGTCAAATGTATAGACTTATAAGAGGACAAGGAAATATAAAAATCTAAAGAACTTTAATCAAATCAAATTCAATACAAATTGTTCAAGAAATGAAATGAATGTCGGTTCACTGCTACAGTTGTGAAATAGATTTTAACTTAATGTGGCTAAAATGACATTACCATTTAAAGGCATTTTATACATTGAATTTACCAGATATATATTTTGAGATTTCATATTTTTATATTATTGCAAAGAAAATATTGCTTGTTAATTTAAACACTGAATTTTACAGTTAAATTTTATGGCAATCTATGTTTTCTTTTCTTCTTTTTTAGCAAAATATCCTAGATATTTATAAATTGTCAGGAAAGAACCTAATAAAATTAATTGATCTTAATTTAAACTTTTTGACTTTGATCATAACTGAAACATTTCTCTAAAATATGCTATATCTTTTCGGTTGATATTACAATACCATTGAGTACAATTATTAGTAGTTTACAGTATCCAGGTAAATATTAGAATACTAGATAACTTTGTATAGAAGACATGAGACATATTTTTAAGCATGTTTAGGGAATAAACATTCCAAGTCTACATAACTGAATAAAAATAATATTGTTAATTTTAATAATTTTAATGTCATAAACAGTTTTTTTAAGATAACTAATTCCAGTTTTAAATTGTTTTCATATATGCATATCATGTGCAGAATACATGAAAACAATTTATAAAACAACTGATCCTGCCTGTCTTATGCTAGTAATACTTTGAATACTTTAACTTCAATCTTGACTTCTTCAAGTCAAGGTTTAATCATTATCTTTCCTCCTTATTCCCATAATTATCACTTCCTACCACCTTATCTTCCTTTCATATAATATATATCATTCATCATTACCATTTTGGCTGTAACCTCTACTTTCAGTGGTTGCTGTACTTTAATTTAGTAAAAAAAATTCTCCATTGACATTCTATTCAAATTTGCTAAATTCTTATTCCTTTTTACTGTTTTAGTTATGCACCATTTTTTAGTATAATACATGAATATTTTCTTTGTATTGTTTCAAGTTTGATAATCTAATCACTATTTCCAAGTCAGGTCAGATTAGTTATTTGTTCATGTTATCAGATGCCATGCAGTTAGATTATGAAGTAACAAAACAAAATGCTTTTGACCCTCTTACTATCTATCTACCATGTCTTTCAAGCAGCATAGAGAAAGACAATAGATATGAATTAAAACTTTTGATTAAATCTTGATTGAACTAAATTATTGGATGAGTAGAGTTACATCTCCATTCCAAGAAGGCTTAGTGCTATTTACTTAAAGATCTGTCATTGTTTTTGTTTCAGTTGGTTTTAGACCACATGCAAACATGCAGACATCACATCATGTTCTTTTATACGGTTGTGGAGAACCAGGTAGTGAAAAAGTCGTTTGGTAAGTATATTTTACTACATCAGTTTTTATCGCTGATACAAGAAAGATAATTATCTGTGAAGAAATTTTCACTTTTTTTTTTTTTTTTTTTTTTTTAAATCTTTTTAAAGGAATTGTGGAGAAATGGCAACCAAAGATACTCAGTATGTTTCAGGTCCTACATGTAAATCTTCACCGTCTATCCTATATGCATGGGCAATGGATGCTCCTAAACTTGACCTCCCTAAAGGTAAAATGTTTTATATACAACATATAACTTCCTTTGTAAAAGGCTATTAATTATTTGTATTGTGTCAAAGCAAAATCCTTAAAGAATAAGCAGACTCATTTATTAATACTTCCAATCATATAATACTACTAATAAAAAAGACTTCAACATCAGTATGTATAATCAAGTTCCAGAAGTCGTGCATAAAGTACTTTCATTTATCTGTGACCATGATCTATTTCTTGTTTTCTAGATGTTATAATGGATATCTAATAATAAAATCAAATTTGTTGCTAGCAAAACCAAATCAACATACAGTAAATATTTTTAATTGATTTCCTACCAGAAGCTTCATGTGATCAAACAAGAAGAGTAGGTTTCTAAACTTTGTATCCTTTTAATTTCTCCAAAACTTTACAAATGCTGTCAAAGGTTTTTGCTCTTCTTTTGGCAAGTGGTTACATGGTTCAGGAAATTGGCACCTTCACCTTAACAGTGGTTCTGCAGGTTCTGGAAGACTTGCATTTGGTAACCTTTCTGCTCTTGTGTGAACATCAGCAGAACCAGTTTGGCTCAAATTTTGTGATATCCCAACACTGCCTGCATAATTTCCAGTGCATTGAAGCCAGCATTCATCTCTGTTTCACTGTCCTCTGGTCATAAGTGTAAACGATCTGGGATTATGAAGGAAATGTTTGTCGCAGATTATTTCCATGTCACATAGAATAAATCACTAATATTTGCTACTACCACCGAGATCTGAACCTGTGGTCGGATCCACCCAGGCTCACCAAAATACCCAAATTTTGCTCCCTGATTTGAGAACACCAACTGCTTTTATCAGCCAAGCATTTTTTCCATATGTCGACAGCTGGGAGACGATGTTCAGTAATTTGCATATCAAAATACTTTTATAGCGACTCCTGCGACGGACTTGTTTTTTAATTCAAATATTCCATCTTCAGCATGTCATGCAGAATACATGCTGTTTTGTTTGGTAAGTAATTTTCTTTTTCACCACATTTTCCATCGTAGAATACACGAAATGCACTGTCACTTGGTTTGACAAGGTAAGTCACCGTTTTAATCACTATACTCCCCCCTGATCTCATTATCACAAATCGAACAGCCTGGAGCAGCTCTCTTTATCCTGGTGCTTTATTGTAATGGCATTATCTCTCTTACGCATTTCAGAGAATCATCTCCTGAGGAGTCATCAGACGTATCTCGAGTTTCCGGAAGTTCTATGTCTGTGGAAGCATTGTATTCGCAGATCTCAATTATCCACTCACTGTCAGATGATGAATCATCATCAGATTCGCTCGGCAATGTATCAGAATCAACGAAAAGGTGAAGATCTTTTACATGCCATGGCATCCCGTCAACTAGTATTGTTTGTGGACTTACAATGTCCGTAACGCGACCCACTTGATAGCTGGAGGTACACTGGCCATGGGGAGCTTTCACCTATACTCTGTTTCCAACTTTGTATATATCGTGATACTTACAACAATCAGGTGGTAATGTTGTAGTAATTCCCTTCACTTTCAGTTGGTAACGGTGAATCATATTGGCAGGCGCATTAGTCGACGATATATCATCCTTCAGCGTGATATTATGCCAGTATACTGCCTCCATTATTGAACACTGCTTTCTTGCTGCAATTCGCTTTATGCTCCAATGAGATCTTTCCACTATACCGTTTCCTGCAGGAACATAGGTGCAGTGAAAATGAAGTTGGACTCCCCAGTCATCCAAGAAATCTTTAAAGGACTTACTGTGAAATGCAGTGTCATTGTCAGTCAGGATTTCTGATGTTAAAAAAAAATACTTTCTAACTGCCGAATTTCACTTCTTGAGTCTTGTTGAAGCAGGCATCGCCATATCGCAAATCTACTAGGGCCACAATCAATTAACGTAAGGTAGTGTTGCTCACCGTAATGTGTAATGTCCATTCCTAAGCAGGTCCAGATTTCAGTCACACTTAGGTTGCCACGAGGTCAACAACTTGAGGCTGGGTCAATTGACTGGCATTCTTTACATTTTCTGACCACTGCCTTGACAGCCGCCTTGGATGTTGTAGGGTTGACTCGTCTCACAAAATATAGCATCCGCCTGATGCCAGGATGTACACTCTGGCAATGTATGGCATGTATCTGATCGGGAGAGGTTTTGTTCACCATGGAAGCGCATATCGGGCGTGTTGGTTCGGTTTCCTTCTTTATCATATCATACCATCATTGCGATACTCTGGTGAGCTTATCCGCTCAGTTCTCACTCGACGTTACTAAACTTATCGTGATCAATAAGTTATACTCAGAATCAGCTTTTCAAGAGTACTTAAACGCCTCCAGATCAGCATCTCACTTGCCGCCTGTTCGTATTCTCGCTTTGCCAGTGAGCATGTTTGATACCCACCGGTGCACACACGTGGAGTCCATGAAGAGGTGTAGCTCTGTTGTGCCCCACTGTAATGCTAAATTGACGCCCTTCAGAATAGTATCCAATTCTGATAAATTGATATGTTGGGCATCCTTCACAGGTTGCAGCCAACATGCATCTTCTACATCGCTTCCATCAACCTCCAACGAAACCCCTGTGGCAAGAGAACTTGCATCAACCCATACCTCATAAGCGTGTCCACTTGTGCAACAGTTACCGTGTGCAGGGTCATTCTGGCATATTTTTTCCGCTATGTCTTCAATCATGTTCTTAAGGGGAGGATCTGTCACTTTGTCGTCCCAACTAGATGTGATCGATACTGTCCTGCATTTTACAAATGATGCAGCAACACAAAGCCACCCACACACAGGAACATGACCCACCAGTTTTCCACACCCTGAAAAGATGTTATGTCATGTCAGGATCTCAGGAACTGATGGAATACCATTTTCACATGTCCACTTAAGTGTGTTGTTATCTTTCGCGACATGCAAACTCAGCACATGTGTACCATTCCGTAACCGCTCCGGATACTTACAGATCAAACCAAATGCAGCCAAGTGCTCTTTCACATGAGCTGCTGAAATCATGGTCTCGTCAACATAAATATCATCAATATATGATGAGGTTGCCCATCAAACTGACTCGTCTTTCACCAATGTGGCGTCCACAATGGCCTTCATTATGGCTGGTGCAACATTCAACCCGAAACCCAATCAGGTTAAGCAATATCTTCACCCCTTGAAGATTACAGTTTGAAAGGGCCAAAGTGACTTATGGATATGTACTTGTAAATAGGCCTGCTGTAGGTCAAGAATAGCAACATCCGGTCCTTTTTTACTTATTTTTGTTTTTCTGCACCACCACCATCAACGGAATTAAACCTTTTGGAGGACCAAGTTCCTTCTCAGGATAAGGCTGCAACCAATCGTTATCAAGTCAGGTCTGCAGTTTACGGTCGTATTCCTTCTTGACTCGTGTTGGTATTGGGTACTCAGGCATCTCTCACTCTCTGGTGATTGACCATCAGATCACTTCCATGATGCGACCCATATCTTCCAGTTTGGGTCTAATTCGGCACAGAAATCAGGTTCTTCTATTTTAATAGCGGTGTAACAGACTATCCCACACTTGGGAAACCGTACATCGCCACACTTATTTATTTGTTATTTGGAGTCCGCCCAACTTTTTAATGGCATCGAATCCAAGCAACAAGTCAAAATCCAGTAGCTCTCCATCCACTACCAAGACTTCGATTTTGAGGGGGTTTGCGTTGTTCACGTCAAGCTTAATACTTCCAACTGTGCAACATTTGAGAGTATTTCTGTTTATGGTGAGTACGTTCACTTCCGTCACCCACCAGGATTGACAGGCTGACTTAGTCACGAGCATCTGTAAGCAGCCAGTGCCACTCTCTTAATTCTGTTCACGTAAATACCCAAGACAGGTAGCGCTTCATTCATAACTCGCTTAGGGAAGAGACCGACACTGACGTCTTGTCCCATGCTTTTCCCTGGACACAATGAAGCAATGTGACCTACTTCTTGACACCGGAATCAATGCATTGTTGTGTGTGACCTGCGTGGCTGACAGGCATTTTCTCATCGAACCAGGTAGTCCCTGGCAAGGTGATTCCACCCAGAGCATCGATAACATTGCATACTCTCCCGATGGTTAACATTTGGATGTTTATCAGCTCCGCATGGTGAAATGGTAGCCACAACCATTTCCTCAGTTGCAATTTGATCTTTCATTATGGCCTGAGCTCAGTCCAACAGTTGGTTTGTATTCATGTCTTCCATCCTGGAAGACACACGCAATAGTTGCTTGACGTGTGCTGGTAACCCTGCTATGAACCCACATGCTAATTCTTGCTCTGATATCCCACCAAATAGACCAGCTAGCTTCTTCAAGTTGGCTAGAAACACGTCGACGGACTTGTCCAGGCGCAGTCGGCATTCTGCGAATTGCTCATAAGCAAAGAAACAATCCGGTGCAAAGGCAATCTGCAGGGCTTGTTTTATCTGTTATACTAAGTTTAGTATCAATCCATTCAGTAACTGCTTGTCCGGCCATTGAACCATCGAACTCTGGTATCAACTTGACGTCAAATGTCTTGTCCGTCATAGTGCCGAAATAGCTTGTAAGCGATCTGGGATTACAAAGGAAATGTTTGTCGCAGATTATTTCCACATCACAGAGAATAAATCACTAAGTTCAGACTCAAACATTGGGGACAGAAAGAAATGCCAAAAACTTGATTTGCAGGTACTATCTCATGAATCACAAAGCACGCAACCAGTCAGAAAAATAACTCATTCTCCAACAAATGTGGCAGCCAAATTAGCTGAATTTTGCTCCCCAATTTGAGAACATCAACTGCTTTTATCGGCCAAGCATTTTTTCCATTCATCGACAGCTGGGAGACGATGTTCAGTAATTTGCATATCAAAATACTTTTATCGCGACTCCTGCGACAAACTTGTTTTTTAATTCAAATATTCCATCTTCAGCATGTCATGTGGAATATGTGCCCTTTTGTTTGGTAAGTAATTTTCTTTTTCGCCATATTTTCAGTC